GGGGGGTTGCGGGTTCCCTATGTTTAATTTGCGAAAAGTTACCATGTCAGTTGAGTTGGGAAGATTCGACATATTGCAAATTTTAATGGGACTAAATCGGGAATGTGCAAAATAACATTTTGGGAAAAATTATGTTTTTCAAGGGACACACAACGGAGTGGACGATGATTTATTTATTTTTTTTAAGGTGCGGGTAAGCATTTATAATTTATGCTTCGGTATGCTATCTCATCCCATAGAAATGTACAGAAAAATTTCCGAATCGGAGCCGGAATATTTTTTTGTAAGCCTGCTGTTCTCCATACCACCACTAGATGGTGCTCGAGTTAACAGGCCGGGTGTGCAACACGGCTTGACCCAAGCTCTCGACCACCCATTTTCGATTGCCGCTTTTCCCCATCTGAAATTGGGCCGGAGTACCCGTTCAAAAAAAAAAAAAATTAATCGATACGGATAGAACGCCGTACCCTGTTCCTGCTGTTGGACCCGGTCTGCCGCCGCGGAGGCTGCGCCTCCTCCAGGCGCCCGTCAGGAAAAGCGTGCTTGTAGAAGCAGTTGGAGCCGAAAGGACACGTTCCGCGGCCCTCGTCGAAGTATCGACACGGTTTACCCCTGGGGAACAGAATGAAGAGACGGTGATGGTGATTATTTTGAATAAGTTAAAAAGGGTAATTTTTCCGGAGTTTAAAAATTTTTTTTTTTTAAGGCTACAGGTTACCAATAGACGATTCACAAAACTTTAAGGAGCTTCGGCTTTCGGTGAGCAGCGGACGGCAGAGCCCTCGGTCGCACGCCCAGTCGACGTTCTGCCTTGCCGTTTTTGATTTGGGGTTTTTTTGGGGGTATTTTTGGGGACTCGGCCACGCCCACGTTGCGCTCAGTAACTAATTGTCGCCTCATCACAGGCGACCCAGAGACCCCGTTAGTCCACATACCCCATGCCTTCCTTGTACGTTTGGATGAGTTTCTGCTTTTCCTCCTTATCCTCCACCCAAAACTCGCTCGGGATGACGAAGTTGGATGTGATTCGACATTCCGGGCACGATCTGTCGGTGGAGAAAGAAAGCCGTAGAATGTTACGATCCGACACATTCGTGCAATCTTTACACGAAAAACTACCGATATTTCTTAATCTTGTTCGAAAATGCATTTTTGTACATCTCAGTCGGCTATGAGCAAAGCAGAAACGCGACAGCTTGTCCTCCTTTTGCAGAGCACAAAAAGGCAACCAAAAAAATAAAATAAGCAGCGCATGACTCACTTGATGATTCTGCTCTCAAACTGCCGGGCGCTTCGCCACCTGCGGATGCACTTTAGACAGTAGCAGTGGCTGCAGTTGGAGAGGATGCCGAAGCGGCGCTCGCTCGGGTTGCTTTTCTCAAACACCACCTCCATGCACACGCCGCACATCATGTCCTTGCTGCGTTGGATGGCGAACGAGATCTCCATGTCTTTCTCGTGGGCCTCGATGCACGCCTAAAAAAAAAAAAAAGTTCTTGAAACTCATAATAACAAACGGCAAAAAAAAAAAAAAAAATCTTTTTGTGGATTTCAAGAGCTAATATCGGCAAATTAATTGGCCACGCTCGAATACGGTGTCCCCCCCGGCTCAATGTCGAGGCCCATTATGGGTCACGCTACCTTGGTGTGGTCCGAGCGCTGGTCGTTGTCGGTGGGGTGGAGCACCTGCAGGCCGCACATGTCGCACACGTCGCCGTGGAGGTAGACGCAGTTGAGGCCGTAGCGGCACTCGCCCACGGCGGCGTACGGGCACAGCTGCTTCCTCAGCTCTTTGTCGTCGGGCGCCGCCTCGCTGTCAAACTCCTCGATGAGGGGCACCGAGCTCGGCGCGTTGGCCGACTCCACTGGGCGAGAGAAGAAAAAAAACGGCCGTTTAGAAATTCATTTTGGCCAACTTTGATCTTTCGAGGCTCGCATAACCACAAATTAAGTACGACGCACTTTTTCGCCGGCGCCCATGTCACTCACCAGACCCCAGGCGGCTAACAATAATATCGTTCACAATCTTTTTTTTTTAACCCAAAGGCAAAAAAAAAAAAAAGGAGGTCGAGCACACTTTCAAGCACTCGCTCACCGCGTCCACAGTACGGCTGCCCCGGTACGAACTCGGCGGCGTTGACCCAATCTTGTGCCCCTGGGCCGGGCGTCGGCCCACTGAGCTCCGGATCGGGCTGGCTGGCTCGAGAGGTGGAAGGCAAAGGCTCAGGCGTCTGCAGCTCGTCTTGCGATGGATTGTGATGGTCGAACCTGTTCGATGACATGAGACACCATAACTTAGGCAGAAATGACAACCGTATTTGGTTTTTTTTTTTTGTCCTTGCCAGAAATCCGACTAAAATATTCACGCTAAACGGGTTCGGAGATAAAATACATTCCAAGCAAAGGACACTTTTGGTGCGCTGCTAGCTTACACCAATCTGTCCTTAGGAGACAAAACCTGAACCAAAAAAAAAACAAAAACAAAACTGCGCAGGGCAGCTCCTCTTTTATGCTGGGAGTTTTCGGCTGAACGAGACCGACTATTTTATTGACAAATAAATGGAAAGCGGCCACGACGGGGGTTGCCCGACGGGTTGGGCGACTGTCAGTTTACCTGTCGAGCCACAGGCGACGTGACATGATTCCATGTTGTTGTTTTTTTTTTGTGTGTGTGGTTTTTGTGGTCGCGTTGCTTCATGGACTTCCAGGTTTAAGTAATCATTAAAAAAAAAAAAAGGCTGTCCAGAGAAACTGCTAAGCAGACTCGTGCTAGCTACGATTTTACTCTCAACATATTACGTAAGAGCATTGAAGAGGCACTTGTGGGGACAGGTAAGCAGCATGGAAAATTTGCTCTAGTTAGCGGTGCGTTTTTTTTTTGGTCTTTTTTTTTTTTGCTGCTGCTTTGACGGTGGATATTACACACAAAGGGGGATGGGGGGGGGGGCTCCCGTCTGTCTGCTCGGGAGAACAATGGCCAAAAAAAAAAAAAAAGGGGGGGGGGG